ACTATAACTAATTCCATTCATAAAATTCTACAAGAGCCCTTGGCTCACACCACACCGGAATATAATTCATGTCAAAGTGAGAAGCTTCTTAATCTAGTATTTTATGATAATTAGTGAGTTAGTGTAATTAACTAACCTACAGCATGTTCCGGGTTAGTATAGTGGATTCTTTTTCTAGACGAAATATAGGACCACTCTACGCGCTTTTACTCCCCCCTCCCTATCCCTAATCATTCACTGGGCACCTATTTCCCTGTGACACTGACTTTATCCACCCATTGCTTTCCAATTTCGTAATTAATACCCCGTTTTTTATTAATAATAAAACAAGAAGAACGGTAGATGATTTGATCATACGGTAAAGAGCGTGCGGACGAGCGCAGGGGATAATAGCCTGTGGAGATTGTGCACACAAGTGGCGCGGTTATTTCCCCAGGTTTCGGTTTCGTTGAGGTTTCCGGCATGTCTTCGTCTTCCGTTGGGAAATTTCAGACTTTATTATCCATCCACGCAACGCAAAACGACAATCTAGAGGAGAATAGTGGTGGCGGGAAGGAACCATATGAGATCCGGATATTCGAATTTACCATTTTGCCCTCCTCCCCCTTCCTCAATCTTCCTCATAAATTCCCTAGAGACGTGTCCCTGGCTCTCCCTCCGGACGCGACACCTCTCTCGTCTAGCCTTCCAATCCAAGCAAAGCAATTCATAAATACCGAATTTTCCAGAATTAATTAAACAAAAGCCCCAAAAATAAAAATGATGATGAAAGCTTTGCTCTGAAATGTGAACGCTTCCCTCCTCCGCCGTCCTCCAATCCGCGCCCTTGATTCGTCCAGGTGGACTCCCCATTCTCTCTGTCTCTCTTTCTTTCTCGGCGTGCCTTTGTCTCTGTTATGAAGTTCGCCGGTGATTGCTTTCTCTTCTTTCTATGGAATTTCGTTCTTCTTCATCAACAAGGTCTCTCTCTCTCTCTCTCTCTCTCTCTCTCTCTCTCGGGGGTAAATGCATACATACATACAACATATGCATGCATGATATACACATAGTATGTATTTATATGTTGGATTGTGTATTGTATTAATTGCATTTATGAATTCTGTGAAGCAGTGATTGGTGACAAATTGGGCGCAAAGCTTTATTGTGATGGGGAAAGGTGACGCTGGTCGCTGCATTTTCCCCCTCACCAATTTGCAAATTGGGTAACAATCTTAAATTTCTTATTTGTACTTCTTAAATTCTAATTATATTTGTTATTAATTTGCTTAATTTATTCTCGTTTTGAGGCAACAAGCATGTTTTAGTCTGTGCCAGAAGTGGTTTAGCAGCCTTGATTCTGAGTTTTATGGCATAAATTTTAATTTGCTTAACACTCACAACCAGGTCAATTTACAAGTGAAGTTGATGCTGGTTTCTAATTTTCAGCTCTAGTGTATGTATGTGTATTTTGTTGTGATACTGATTTAGTATTGCTAAATGCAGAGAAAACCTTGTGCTTTTTCACCTCTGGAAAACATATTATGTGCTGCTGTTTTTGCTTATTTTCTTTTTTGTGTAAATTATGAAGTGATGTGTTTTGTGCTATTTGATTGCAGAGACTTGCAGTCTTACGTTTCGGATCTTAGCCTTTTCCTGGCCCCTGAAAGCAAGAAATTCTATATCTTGGTTGACAATCGGCCATGGCTAGGCTCACGGTCAGCACACTTGTGGCAATTGATGGTTACCAAGGTCACTCACTAGTCACTACACCCCCCATAATGTTCAACGTATGATTTTTTATTTTTTCAATTCAATTTTATGGAGGACTAAAGTTTATATTTGTTTGATTTTCAGTCAAGGTTATCTCCTTTTGCCAACTCTAAA